ACAGCGATATTTAAATAAAAAATAGTTCTGCACTCAGGCCAAAATTTATAATAATACGAGCGGGAGTACTGAAAGTCAAGTACTACCGTAGTGGATTTTCTCCTTGCAAGTTTTTAAAATTTCGAGCTATTTTATTTTCAATACGTGCCAATCCGACCCAAGCAAATGCTTGGATTCATATATGAATGGTGATAAACTTATGTGCCTTCCCCATGTCGCGAAGGCACATAAGTTTATCACCATTCATATTTAGCCCTTAAAACTGGGGATTCATCATCTTTAATTCAAGACGAAGCGATTAAGAAAAGAACGAGCTAAGTCCGACCAGTATTTGAAAACGAAAGATTCGTTTTGCCCAAACGCACGGTATAGACAAGTGAATATAATGGGCCACTATAGGATCGTTCTATTATCATATTGCTGCAGTGTTAACCCCGACTAGTTTGCATCTTGGTATAAACCAAGTAACCACATATGTAGCTTGTCAACTAGCTAGCTCCTCCCTGGTACAGTAACTTACTGGCTGGACTTTTACACGAAGTCCTCCTAGTCCCTGTCGCCTACGAAGGACGGACGGATGAAAAAAAAAGTATAATACCAGATAAATTAATTAAAATATTATTCGAATTGGAGCTAAAAAAATTAGATATTCTATTTTTAAATTTATGGTCGATGGGATATCTCGTGTTACTGTAGAAAGGAATAATAGCATCCATCATCACTAACTTACGTTATGGTTTCGGTGGAGTAGAGCCGAGAGACATCCAAGTAGTCAATACTAGTAGTATACTAGTAGTACATAGTATGAACATCAATCGTCCATGAACCCAATATGACACGTTTGTTTAGTATTACTAGTGATCATCAATCGTCCATGAAACCAATATGACACTTTTGTTTAGTATTACTAGTGATCATCAATCGTCCATGAAACCAATGTGACACGTTTGTTTAGTATTACTAGTGATCATCAATCGTCCATGAACCCAATATGACACGTTTGTTTAGTATATTACGTCTGCCATAGACTCATATAAGGCGGAAAGTGCCAGTTTCGGGCATTTCGAATCGAAGTCAAGCTGCCAAAACGTTGAGTTGCCACTGCCGACGCCACGGCGGTACACTCGGCAACCGCGCGCAACGAAGGGCACTTGGGCAGAACCAGCGGCACCAAATCCCATCCATATTGAAGCCTCAAACTTGTGTCTTCTACTGTTGCATTGCAAGTTGCTGCAGTAGGTCCACAGCAACGCACGTGTCCACACAATGCTTGGCCTTGAAATGTCCATATGTCGATACCCGCCGACTGCGCCATCGTCGCCATGATCACCCAGTCCCGCAGCATTTCCACGCTATTGTTGGAGGCCAGATGAACCAGCCGGGATTGCACAGTATCTGCGTGGAAGCGAAACTCAGCTGGTTGGTCCAAATATGCAGCCAGGCACGCCATCTGACTGTCATATACCACGCCTAGGGATGAAATATGAAACGTTTATACTGACTGGGGGGACTAAAATATCAAATGGATTCTACTCGGAGTTTCTAAAAGTTCAGTAAGATTTTAACCCCCCTAGCTTAATGAGTGCTCTACAGTTTGAATTTTTATTACTTTTTTACTCCAATTTGAAAAAATAAATAATAATCCATAATTATAGTATGGTCAAAGCAATTGGGGAATCTAATATTGAGAGTATATTGGATTCGATTGGCTCTTATAAATATAGTCTGCCAATCAAAACGTCCAGCGTGGTGGTTCACGTGAATTGTTTCAAAGATCAAATGTATTAGGAGAATGGATTCAAGAACCGCCAAAGCCAATCAAATCACGCTCTGGTACATTTAAACGTTGGAATTGGGGGCAAAACCATATATATATACTAATCTTTGTATAGTTTGTACAAACTTAAATTGGATCAACAACTACTAATCTTTGTATAGTTTGTACAAGCTTAAATTGGATCAACAATGATTTGGGCGATATGTTTCACAAGTCCAAATTTAGGCGACATGCACACTAGCGAATTCCAAATACAGTACATTGAAATACATACGATCGATGTCTTTACTATTATGTCAAACTATAGTATCCATACAAGTAAAATATATATATATATAAAATACAACTATCAACAGGATTATCCATACAAGTAATATATATATATAAAACAATACAACTATCAACTGGATTAACCCACACTAGTGTACCATAATGCGTGGACGATCGAAACCATTTGGACGGGGCGTTCAATTTGGCAGGTTGTTTGTCCATAGCTAGCACTTGGTAATACTGTCTGAGCCAGGTTTGTACGTGTAATAACAAGCCAGATGTGTACGAAGTGTCGGTGCTTTCTTGGAGGATTTTTAAAGTGTCGAGAAATAAAGGCAGGGTCCGCATCACGACCAATCCGTCCTCCGTGCGTAATAACGTAGCTAATCGCATTCCGAGGATAAGTAATATATATATTTGCCAACTAATACTACTAATACATGTTAATCATACCTGGCGGGGGTAGGACACTACGACTCGATTGAACAAACCAGGTGTGGAGTAACTGGACGGCGGCTTGCGTATACTTGTCGTCGCTTGAGATAAACGAGCCAAAGACTAAGGCTGTCAGGTTGTACACCATCGATTCAAAACGCACTTGCTAGGTCAAGCAAAAAATATTTTTTTTTAATATTACGTCAAGATATATATATCTATATATATATACCACATCATGATACCATTGCGTGGTATCCGTGAACATGGATGGAGGTACGTCGGACGGCAACAACAACACCGACAGTAGCTCCAACGCCGTGTCGGCGTCAGCTAATATTTCGTGGACGTGTGGAAATAATATTTTTTTTCGGTTTTCAAACGAGTCTTTCGCTTGCAATAACTGGTCTTCGCTATACACGACCAAATTGCTCGGGTGGAACTGCAGCACGTCCCGCATCACTTGGTCGTCCAGCGCCTCCAACTGCTTCGCCACTGCCACTGCTCGTGCCATTTCTCGTTCGTATCTACTCCAAATATATATATATATTAATATTTCGTTTTCGTCGATTTTTGTCCATGACAATATTGGAGAATAGAAGCCACCCAGGTAGTGATAGTATGTATCGACACGTCTAGAGCTAGCTCTGTTTCGATGTTTCAACCCCCCAGATGGAGCGAAACCATCTACGACCCTCTACTACTAGTAGCTACTACTAGTACCTACGTACCCATACGCCTGGTCTTCGTACACCGGGTTGCCGGAGAAGAGTCGAATCACAAACCCCGTGGACGGTACCGCGTGTGAACTGTGAGACTTTATATCTTGAGATGGAATGTCAAAGGTTCGCTGCCGTTCCCAGGTGGACCAGCCCCAGTCAAACCAGGCGCCAGGGACGTTTAAGCGAATTAGCAGCGCTGCTTTATCCCGCCGCCCGTACCTACCTCACACAATACCTTTAGATATTATCCATATATATATATATAAGAATGGAATATATATATATATTAGAATGGAATATATATATATATATATATATTGTACCGAAAAGCTTCGTCGAATCGCTCCACGGCGTTGCGGTGAAAGATGATCTGCGGCTCTTCCCATGCATGGGGGGTATAACTGGGCGACAGCACGACGTCGTTGTCGACTTTTAATCGGTCCATCCAAGTTACGTAATAGTTTGGATGATCGTCTACAATGTATAGCGTAATTTAATATTTTGAGATAAGTATAGAAATATATAATCATGGCTCCTGTAAATAATAATTTTATATATATATACTGACTGATGCATACATAGCACACTACTAAACGTCAGTAATAGTACAAGCAACGGAATGCTGCTGCAGCATTGCCAAGCGTCGCATTTAATCCATGAATATATATATATATATATTGAAAACGATAAATAAATACTATTATATTCTTACCACTAGCCACATCAGTCGTAATGTTTGGTGGAAACAAGTCTTTGGATATGCTTTGCCATGCATTCTTAGTCACAAAGCAGTTTTCATCCCACGGTAGGATCCACGTCGCGCCTTTGGCAATGCTATACATGCCCCCCCCCATTCTATTAAATATATTTTCGCATATATATATATATTACCCCAGCGCAATCATGGCATTGCGGGCGTGGTTGACGCTCATCGCGTACAAGTTCTTTTGATCGTAGATGGAACTGAGCAGTAGGTTTTGGTTCCATGCATCGAGTTCAACGTTCGAATGCAAGTGATCCGAGTGATCATCCTGATCCAAGAGCGAAAATGGCGCGTCCGCGTACTCTTCAAGGAGAAACGGTAGGCGGGTGTAGCTACAATCGTAATGTAGAATGTTATATTGACACCATCCAATTGGACAAAAGTCAATGTAAGTAGCCAATCAGCGGTTAGAGAAAATAGTCTGACCTGGCACTGTGCTGGTCCAAGAGTTGCATGATGTCGCGCTCGACGGTGTCGTTCAGAATGCGATTCAACACCCAATGCTTGTGCACACGGGGGTCTTGGAATTCGTTCTCGAGGATGAACCGGAGGTTGATCAACGTCCGAGCGGGGTCGTGGCTATGAAGGCACGACAGTAGTGATGCCGATGCGCAACGAATCACGAGGGTTTATACCGTGGAGGCAGGGCATTCCCAATGATGCGAGCAAAGAACACGGCGGCAGGAGCGGGCTTTTCTACAGAAAGGACACCAAACATGCACTGGATGAGGAAGGGAACGCCATCATCTTGTGAACACACCCTTGGCGACGACATGCAACTGCTTGGTGGGTTCGATATCATTGGGGACGACGGTATTAGCCAACGCATGTAGCTTGGTGGGGGTGGCCGAGCGGCGGTCAAGTGAAGCTGGATGCACAGCTGAGGTGGCGTACCAAGTCACCGCCACAGACACCACGAATAGACCGAGGAACGCCGCCCGAAGCCTGGCTACGCTGCATCGCCGCGGCTTCATGCCAAATCAGTGTGGATCGCAAAACCTTGGAAAATCAATCGCAAGTATTAAAATAGACGAGTAAACCCAGTTGTTTAAACCGCTACTATTAAATAGGTTTTATTGGTTTGACTTGCTAAGGCAGGAAAAGTACAATTACCATCAAGCGTCCAAAGGACTGCATTCCAAGTGCTATATAGTTGCATGAAGTTGGGAGTAGTACACGCTTCGCAGCTTGACCACCGTTGTATGTGGGTAGAATAAAACGTTCAAAATCAATTAAACGCGTTTACGTTTTATCGCATTAAACGTATCATTGCAATAATCTAGGAGCCAAAAACACCACAAGATGGACGATGAAGGTAATGTGACGCAGCTCTTGGATCTAGGAAGCTCTGCGGGATGCGTATGCATTCTTCCATGGGGATGGTGCTCTGATGGCATGGAACTATGATGGCTGCGACATAGAGAACGGCAAGGGGTATGCATGGGAAGGTTCATTTGAACGCTCTTGGGACGGGATCGAAGAAGACGAGAGTGGCGCGTTGAAGATTCAGGCGCATGTAGCATCTTCAGGAGACAAAGCCCGTCAACGCCGCCAGCAAATGCTGCAGCGCGTGCGGAAGGGTATGTCCTTTCTCCATGCCGATGATGAAATGCGCTCACGGACGTTGGTTGCTCCGTCAGGTCTCATTCGATACGTCTATGTCGTGGTGGACCTGTCCAAGGGGATGAGTCAGAAGGACTGGAAACCCCATCGCTGCGCCGTCGTCACCGAGGAAGTCCAACGATTCGTGGCCGACTACTTTGACCAGAACCCGATTTCCCAGGTACGTACAACCCCGTCCCATGCTTCCATCGCATGAACACTTGGTCGACAGTTGGGCCTCATTGGCATCAAGAGCGCCATCGCCGTCAAGTTGAGCGACCTCTCGGGGAACCCCACCCACCACATCGAGATCCTCAAGAGTTCACTCACTGTGCACGGCGAGCCCAGCTTGCAAAACGCGCTGGAAATGGCGCGCAATGCGTTGAAAATCGTACGTTACAGTGTCGCAGAGATGTACTGTATCGCATCTTTAGGTGCCGTCGTACGGATCGAAGGAGATCATCGTCATGTACGGCAGCTTGACAACGACAGACCCCGGCGACATCTTCGGGACGCTCGCGGCACTTAAGAGGGACTCTGTCCGATGCTCGTTTGTCGGCATTGGTGCCGAGATGCACTTGCTCAAGCGTATTGCCAAGGTAATAAATACTATCTATATATATATATATATATATATATATAGACAGAACTATTCACGCATGATATGGACATATATATATAATTTCAGCACAGATGGAAGAAAATGAACAGGTTGATACATATAATAAATCTATCATGGGGTGTCTCTCGTCTTATTGATTGAGTTTGCGGAATATGTGTTGATGGATAAAACTAGAAATATTATATTTATTTACTAGGCGTTCGTTGTACGTGTGAACTGTACCGTACAGCAAAGTCTCTAACATACTAGACAATGGTGGTCGTCGCTACGTATGCTCGTTGGATATATATCAATACTATCTGTAGTTTTCAAAATGAGTCGTATTCTATATATATATATATATAAACGTAATATTATTATTAGGAAACCCATGGCACGTACTCTGTGGCGTTGGATGCTCCTCACTTTCGAGACCTGTTGTCGGCTTTTACCACGCCGTGCCCAAGTCTGGCGTCGTCGGTGGCGAAATTTGCGACGTTGGTCGAGGTATTATATATATATATATTCACAAGATTAATATTTATAAATAGATGGGATTTCCACAAAAACGAAGCGGAGTGCTATCGTTATGCGTGTGCCATCAGACGTTTACGACCATGGGGTACCTCTGTCCCCGCTGCAAATCCAAAAGTTGCCAACTGCCCACTGTGTGCGTTGTGTGCAGCTTGCCCCTGGTGAGTACAGCACTATACAACAAATATTATATATATACTACGTAGTATTACATGCTACTACAATGACAGTGGTTCTCTCTCCATTTATATAATATATATATATATATATATCGTTCCAAGTATTGCTTTCTTGCATTGTTGATATGCCTTGAGGTGTCTGGTATACAAAGACTTAAGCATCGATTGGGCCACTGTATAAATATAACCTCTAATGAAGGCCTAGATATTTTACTACAACCTGTACAGTACATATCATGTGTTCTGGTTTTTTCATATATATATGTAGATCGTATCTGTAAATAGATGTATATTGACATATAATTAGATATAGATTGACCTATGTGTGTAGGTGTCATCTCCGCACCTGGCGCGGTCTTATCACCACTTGTTTCCGATCGTGAATTTTGACAAGACTGCGATTTCGACCAAGTGTTTTTCGTGTTTGTGGCCCTTAACCAGTGGCTACCAGTGCCCCACCTGCCGCCATTCGTTTTGCAGCGACTGCGACATGTACATCCACGATTCGCTGCACAATTGCCCTGGCTGCAAGTGACTTCATAACTAGTACAACACGTCGATAGTATGTACTAGCCTACAACAACACGTCGATAGTATGTACTAGCTCACACGCGTACTCGTCATAAGCGTTGCCAAGTTGGGCAAGCGAAACTGTCGATCTATGTTATTACTGGGACACTGTCGAAACATGCGCTGTGTTTATAACCGTTTTTCATCTGTATAAATTTATATTTTTAATAGTACACTATAAAAATATACATTTATGGCAGAACGATTTGAAGCTAACTGTTAAACACAACACACCACTGTACTATTAATAGTACTATTGTTGAGTTTATATTTTCTAAACTGGAGCGACATGGAGAATGAACATCAACACAACCAAATATAACGTACAGAAGAATCATCGGCCGAAGGATATATTTAGCCAATCAGATTGCAGGAAACCATCATCCACGTCAAATTGGTGTGTACCTTCAATTAGTGTGATTGATACCAAGCACCACAGGACATTTCTTTACATACAAAACTCAGTACAAAGAATTGATCGATAGATTTGGCGATTCATAGTCAACCAAATTTTGGGTAAAAGGACAATATTAATACTAATACTTACAGTACGTAGTAGTATACCACGTGGTATTACTTTGAGTATTGGTAATTCGATTTCAAGTTGGCCAATCGAATCGACGAAGCACGGTGTAATCCACGGACCGAAGTAGCCAATGAAATGTTCGAAAAAAGACTTTTCGACCAATCATATTGCAGGTGGGTGTATTCGGTGCAATGCCAAGCTTCTCCATTTCACAAAGAGTTCACCATTGCATCGGACAGACAGTGAGTATATTTAGTTCAAGTAAAATGACGTGTAGACGATTTCAGATGGATTTGACGTCGTGTTCGTCGAATCTATCGAAAATACCTAATTTAGCTTGAAAGCACATTAATACAGTATTTTGTAGTAATTACTGTATTAATATTATACATCAAGCAAGATATTGGAGATTCGGTATGAATTTCTGGACCCCGTTCAATCGAATCTCGCCGAGCGAATCGAGCACCAATCTCTCCCATTGGTCAATCTGAAATTACTTGTCGCTGATTGGCTACAATCCATTTTCGAGTTTCTACTGGAAAGGGCGAAGTGGATAATGGCCAATCAGATGTCTCGGCTCTATTTGTGCTCGATTGAACGATCTATGCAAAATTGGGAAATTTGAAGAAAATCGGCAATACTACTTTTGCATTTCAATTTTATTTTGTTTATTGTGTTTTCGGATTGGCTAATGCCTGCATTTTGAACCAATCACCATGGCCGGTAGTTCGAGCGCCGATGCGAGGATCGCTTGCACGTGGTCGACAGCGATGGACTGCGTCAACACGTCGCTGTCCAAGCGCCTAGCGGCCGCCACGTCGTTACTGGAGTCGTCCGATCCATGGAGCTCCCTTGCGTCGTGTTCGATGCATACGCGGAACAGTCATGTCCGATCGATGCTCAGCACATGCTCCGAAGTGCTGCAGGGAGGCGACGAAGGTGCCGTTGCCGACTGGTTCTTCTTGACAGCGTCGGCGTTCATGTCCTTGCATCAGTCTTCTTCAAATACCTCGTGCGACTCGAGCGCCGTCCTACGCATCTTGCGTAAAGTCGGACCGTATATGACGCTCCTGTCAGTGGCCTTGGGCACGTCCTGGCTCGTGTTGTCGCAGCCAGAGGTTGACATGATGCTAGAAGCCTTGGAAACATGCGTGTACGGCCGAGAGTACATCTGGGAAGGTCTGCTTCGAGCGTTCAACCAGACGAGTAACCTTGGGAACGGTCACGTGGTCGCACTGGGCCACCTCCTGTCTCTGCTGCTAGCTCGCGACAGTGTGTTGATTTATCCAAACGACTTCCAGGTCAGAAAGGACTCTAAACGACCCCCAAGCGGTGCGAAAAGGGGAGTGTTTGTAGGTGTTTGTGGACATTTTGGTGCGCGAAACGACAGATTTGGACATGGACGACCCCAGGCGCAGTACACTGGCGACGGTCCTACGATGGGGTGTCCTCAGCCCATTGTACGAGCGAGGCGGTAGGAGCTCTCCATGAATGCGAGTACGTCATGCTCGTCTGTAGGAAGGTATCGCAGCATGGAGTTAGCAATCGTGGTGGCGCAATGGAAGGAAGCCTTGGAAAAAGGACACGGGAGCTCGATAGATCGAACGCCTGCTTTGTCTGACCTGCAAGAGTGCTCAACGTGGAAGGCATTGCGTGACGCCCAACTCGCGCTGCTGCAACAGACCTAAGAAGACAGTCGTAGATGTCGAATAGATGTATTAGGGAGAGGCCAGAGCTAGCTGCTGCCGGTCGATTGCAGGTGCGACAGAATAAGCTGCAGTTGGGTTTCGACTTCTTGTTGCACCGCAAGCGTATGTGATTCCTCGTCGCCATGTCCACGGTTTTGGGAGTTGAGGAACTTCTTCAGGAGCCGAGCGGCTTCCTTGTCGGTCACCTCCACGCACTGCTTCACCTTCACGCCGCCCAAGCTGTCCATGCTACAAGTACTGCTGGTGTTGGTGCTGAAATGTGATTGTTGGTTTTACTCCAACTCATGGACCAATCAATGGCCAACAGTTTTCCCCAATTCCCGAGGTTTGTCCCATGTGCGTTTGAGTGAATATCCCACGAATAGATGAAAAGCATTACAGAAACAGAAACAAGGCTGACGCAAATCGTGAGAGTAGAATCAAAGTGGCACAATCCATACTAACTTACTAGTACTACATACTCCGGAGTACTGTAGTAATATATTTTGAATACAAACTGACAAGTCTGAATTTAAAACGAATATACTACGTTTGTAAACAGGAAGATTACATTTTGCAACATACTGTAGTGTAAACAAATGTTAACAGCAAACTTTGACCTCGAAATACCCTAAGCTTGATCTAACTTCGACGAATTGCTTCCAAATTTTTCGTCGACAGACATTACTCCAATTTTTAACGAATATGTATTCAGATTCGTATGTTTCGCCTTGGTTAATTCGAAATCGTACCTCAAACATCGAAGTTTGTAGGTTTCGTCGATATTCAACCCAACAGGAAACCTGTGTAAATCCTTCAACTACACAAATTTTAGACTCAAATATGTGTAGAATATGCTTCTGGACTATTGAAATTTATATTATATGATGGAGTATTTCCCATCTCAGCACAATTTCCCGCAGCATCTAGCTTACGGTTACGACTACTGTATTTCATTTGTTTTTTCGAGTTCGATGTACTGTACGTTACCTGCCATGGTCGACGCATTCGTGCACTTTTGATGCAGTGATAGATTGTAGCAGTTGTGTAGTGCATGCGCAGAGTCGAAAATGCCTAAATAGTCGAAAATCACGTCGAAGAGGCCAAAACACTACCTCACGGGGGTCATATGCTACAAATATACTCTCTGTTAGTGTCCGAAGTGGATTTGCATGATCGATGTACGTTACGTTACCTGTCATAGTGACGCATTCGTGCACTTTTGA